TATATACTTAGAAGCGCAATTCATGGCAAGTCCCATAGTTCCTTAAGCAGCAGATGGTTTTCACTATTTAAAAAAAAGGTTAGATAAATGGATAAAAAAATACAATCTCAACAATGCACACATCTCATCTCTGTTCGCGTTCACCACCCTGTTATGTGTGCAGATAGTGAAGCGGAGATATCACAGATGATGTCTCTGTGTGAGGAGTGTGTATTTTAATGTGTGCATGACAAGATTTGCGTATGTGTGCATGGATTTGAGGTTGTGAGTTTGTGTGCACTTTGTGTGTCTGTGGGCGTAAGCACATCTAAACTGTCAGCATGACACAACGTGGGAGGTCTGACAGACGGGTGAGTGCCTTTTTCATACTCAGAGCTAGATGTGTGTGTGTATGTGTGTGTGTGTGTGTGTGTGTGCGTGTGTGTGTGTACTTGTAGCTAAGTGTTTGTTTATCAGAGCAAATTTATGAACAAAATGTCAGCAAAGGGCTCGTCTGGATTGCAAAGAGAGACAAATGTGATTGTAAGCGCGCACGGTTCGTGATTCAGGGCGATACTGAGGCAGTGAAACATGGACAACTCGTACTGAAGGAGCAGCAGTTTTGCTTTTAAGTCACTATGTTGTCACTTAGGTTGATGATATGGCTGCTTATAGGTGGAATAGTGTGACTGTGTGCTCTCAACTGTCTCTCTGTGTCAGAGCTTGCAGTTCGGCAGTATGTAGGGAATGTTGGAGGAAGACATTTTTGCGACTGTAGCTATGCAGAGACAGCGGGCCTCGAGGTGGTTGTCCCAAACGGCCGGTAAACGTGGAGGATGAGGAGGAAGAAGAGGAGGTGGAGGAAGGAGTAGGAGGCGGAGGGGAGACTTGCTCAGATGAAGAGATGCTAGCAGAGGGGCTCCCTCTGCTCACAAGACTGTGGAGACTTGAAGAAGCACTGGCCCCGACTGCACGAGGGATCTGGCTGGGGGGATGGTGATCTCCTCCTCCTCCTCCTGCTCCTCCTCCTCTCCTCCCTCCACCTGGCAGACTTGCTCCTCCTCCTCCTCCTGGAGTTAAGGACTCTGCAGAAGAAGAGGATACCCCCTCCAGTAGCTTGGAGGACAGTGATGTAACTGGAGAATGAGTACTGGCCACCGAATTGGACACTGGGCATTGATTCTGACTGAGGCCCAGGTGTGAAACTTGGAGCTGGGCTGGTGTGGTAGACGAGCTTTGGGCCGACGCTGCAGAAGTGGCAGAGGACAGGTTAGAGGAGCCTGGAGCCAGGTTTAGAACAGGGTTACGGGCCACCGACTGTGCCAAGACCCCCTGGTGATGGCGCTCCTCCCTGGCAGTGTGCCGCTCAGAAGCAGAAGGCCGGCTATGCAGAGGTGGATAGTGTTGTGGGAAGTGCTGGTTAGAGAGGTCCCCTACGAGTGCACCCCGCACCACCCTTCGGTCCCTTGGGGCCAGACTGGTGCTGCTGCTGTTGCCGAGTCCTGACCACCGGCCTGGATGATTGATCTGAGAGAGAAGCAGAAAAAAAAGGGAAAGCGCAGAAGTTAAACAGACTTTATAATTTACTCTGTCAGGGAACGTGTGATGTGAATCTGCCATTTTCCAAAAATTATTTACTGAGCATGTCTCGAGTGCAAAGGAGAAGCAGCGAGTAAAAACACAGACAGACAGAGACAAATAGTGAGTCAGGGAACACGAGACAAGGAGAGTGCTGCTGTGTGCTCAGTATAGATTGTTAATTGGGTGACATTTGGCGAATGATGTCTTTGGGTTCCTGCAGCTTCATCTAATTGTTTCTAAACGAACCGGAACCCTGCTCACTAAAAAAAGTGAAGAACAGACTCACAAATACCACTGAGAGACACGCACACATTAGCACACAAACAGGACGCGGTAACGTGAGGACGCATGGAGATATCCACTCGAGGTATGTGCAAATCCCCACTCATGAAGCAATGTGGTGCCATTGTCTTTCTATCACACGTACACACACACACACACACACACACACACACACACACACACACACACAAGCTCAATGGGGAAGATGGCACATAAAGTTAGATGGCAGAAACAGAAGCCACCTGTTTTCTTTCACACTCCACTGCAGCCCCCTTATGCAACATATCTCATCACTGCCCCCTTCTTTCTCTCTCAAACTCTCTCTCACACACACACATTACTAAAATTACACAGATACTAAGTGCGCAATGTTCACTATAGAAATGCAATCTCATCCGACACTGAACCTCAGGGGAAAGTAAGCCGAGTTGACATTTGCCAACACGATGGTTGTGTGTGTGTGTTTTTTTCCTGCGTATGGCATGCATATGCATGAGCGTGTGTACGTGCGCACGTATGCCTGCGCAACATGACGTGCACGTGCTTTCCTCATATTTCCACGCAACCATACACGCAAATTAACACTAAAAGAAATGTAATTACTGCGCCGAGGTTGTCGACAGGAATTTGGGGTGAAAGGTAGAAATGCAATTAGCCAGAACATAGCTAACCGAATAAATGCGGTATAACAATGGAAACGCTAATTCAATGAAACAGTTTTTATTCATGAGCTAATACGGCCTGAAATGAAATTTTAAAAAAGGAAGGGGGAGAGAAAGTGGAGTAATTTCTAAGAAAGTGAGAAGATGGAGGTCCGTGTTACAAATTGTGCCTATTAGGCCGCTGTTGGTTATTAAGTATAGAACAAAAGAATGAGTAAAAACTGTGAAATGAGGAGTCTGTGTAGGTTTATAGCTGTGTCTTAGCAAACTCCAGCCAAATGAAAATGTAAGTCCTTAATCATATTTAAGAGATGATCGTAATCTAAATGTACTATTATGATTCTTACACACGCTGGGGCAAAAGGTAACACATGCCAAAGGCCACTCACCAGCAGTGTCAACACAAAGCCTTTCAGGTCAGTCTCACTGTCCTATTTTCCAGCACTGACATGCATCGATGATCCAGCAGCAATTTTAATCAAATTTGCTCCCTACACATTTGACCACTGTGTGTCCACAGTGTGCCATTGGTGTCAATTTACATCCAATAAAGCAAAAGTGTGTGATTTTCACTAAAATAACATATTATGGTAGTGCTGATGTTAACTCAAATACAAATTAAGGCACTGGCTTTACTAAAAGCGCATGTTGGGTCATTAGTTTAAAAAATCCAAACCTTTTAGCACATGGTACATACATTTAACGAGTATTTAGAGAGACATAATTAATGAAGTAGCCCTTTTATAACAGCAAAAAATAAATAAATAGCCCTGATTACAATATGTTTCTGGAAATTTCAGCTGGTGAAATGGCATGTGAAAGCCTCCAGCTACTGAACATCACCAGATTTTTAATATCTTACTTACTAAGGTGCTATATCTAGCTTCTTTAGTATTCTATCAGGATTTAGTTGTGACTGTGCTTGGCACTAATTTAGTCTGAGGGGGTGTAGAGTATGATGTCGGTTAAATATGATAAGAAAACAAATTCCTGAGGGGGGAAAACTGAACAAAACTGAAGTCGACCTCTCTTTGAACGTTTTTGTTCTTGCTACTGATTTTCAACACTGGAACTTGAAGATAATGTAAAGTGATTTTTTTTCCTTTTGGTTTTAATAATGTCCATTTTTTTTTACTGGCATATACATAACAAATGTGACACAGCCACTGCTTTCAGGATAGATGGGATGCTTGAAAACAAACGGCATGTAAAAATGTGAAAATCCTTAAATCACACATTTCAATCACAGTTTGTTTTTCGTACTGACTACTCTCCTGAGCTTGGTTCTGCTGGAGGTTTCTTCCTCTTAAAAGGGAGCTTTTCCTTCCCACTGTTGCCAAATGATTGCTTATAGTGGGTTCTTGGGGTTTTGTCTCAATTATCTTAAGGCACTTTACCTTAGAATACAAAGCATCTTGAGGCAAGTGTTGTGAGTTGGGGCTATATAAATCAAACTGAATTGAATTAAATCACTATATTAAATGAAAGCAGTACAAACCAATAACAAACAATAGATTTTGTCAGTTTCAGTTTATTTATTTTTTTAACAACTTTCAATTAAATTCTGGGGAAAGAGTCACAGCTTAAGCAAAAATGTTGACTACAAAAAGACTGTTACACTCTTAATCTGTCCATGCGGCCTGTCTCTAATGCTTGTAATGCTCCACCTACAGTATACAGAAACATAAAAGCAGTAGCTGACAGACTCACTGGGTTCAGAAATCAAAAATTGGAACTGAAGCCAAGCAATCTCCATTTTAACGGTTCCGTCTATATGCTTTCATGTCCAATGGTGAAAAAAAACCAACAACAACGCTCAGCCAAAATATCAGACGCTGTCATTGTCTATGCAACTTACTTAAAGAGCTTTGGGAGTGGATCGCAGCTTTCTAATGGGCTTTAATGGGTGGATAAATAGTACAAGACTCCTTGTGAATTCCTTGATCTAATTAAGAGTGAGAATTTTCATTCCAGCCAAATTTTCTACACGGGGCGCTGTGAAAAACATGAGGGAATTGCAACAGCGTTGAATCTCTACTGTGGTGTTGCAGGTTTATGTGGGACGACTTAATTAGGGCTAAATCGCCAATCTTATAAAAAAAAAAAATCTGTAGTGTTATTCCACCCTCAGTCATTTGAGAAAACAACAGAAGGTAAAGCGAGAACAGTAAGATACAAATTGGCAGGCAACTTTAAAGGAAATAATTACCAGGCACAGTATAAGAGTTAGTTGTAGAGACATATGCTCTCTATCAAAGAGACTTTTCTTATCCAAATTAGAAGGACAGACACTTTAGAGATAATCAATGACAATGACTCAAATAAAAGCAAACTGGTAAAGGTTGGGTGTATGTGAGTGTACAGGAGGGACATGCATGGGGGGGGGGGGGAGAAGGTCAAGCAAAAAAGTAAACAAAAGGAAGGAAAGGGAAGAAATGAGAAGGTGATTGAAAACAGAGATAAAGAAAAATGAGACCAAAAGTAGAGCGGACAGGAAAGTGCACAGAGAAAGTGAACAGGAGAGATTTACAAACTCAGGTGTCCTTTCTCAAGTACACGCTCTGCGGCAAGCAGGCTGCCTCTTTGCCACTGACAGAACAGCCTGTGTGCACGCAAACACTCTGGAGAGTCTCTCTTTCACACACTGTCCTAAAAATACACATACATACACCCACACGCACACGTACACTAGTCATTGGTAAATCAGAGTGATTTAAAGGGGGCCCTCTCCTGCGGGCTCGGTTTTTATTGGGCAGTGAAGAATGGAGCAATGTTGTAAGGGCCAAGTTTGCATAAAAGACTTCCTTAAAACCCTAAAACAACCCTATACAATGTTTGCTATCTCCTGTCTTGGTAATTTTTATATTGGGAGAAGAGCCAGCGCGGGAGATTTATTTTATGACTTTTGCTTGCCTTGCAGCGCAGCAAAGTAAAAGCTAAATTCAGGTGTAACACAGGCCCAATGTGAGGAAAATACTCCCATGTAATTGCCATCAATCACGCACCACGGCCCAGTATCCCGACACCCACACGCCTAACTCTAATGAAGGTCCAGGGGGATGAAATGCATTGGACCCCAAAACTTTGCAGCTTGAGATAAGAGATAAGAGAGGCAAAACTTTGTCACTGTGATTTCTGTACATTCTGTGACACCCACATACTTTGAACAAAGTAATCCTGTGGTTCTTTGGATGTGTGAAACGCTGGGGTGTTTGGTACAGATACAATAACAGTGCAGTACACCCACATAGATGGTACTCTAAATCCTATTTAGACTATAACCAAATACATTCTCCAATTGTGATGCAGTAGCCGAAACCATCCAACCTTTCCTGTGCTACATGCTAGACATTCTCATATATATTTGCTTGAATATTTATGTCCAGCGTGAGTTGGAAACATGCATAAAACAGTAAAATGGATCCTTATTATGGGATTTAAAAAAGCGAAATAAAGTGCACCGAGGCTTACAACAAACCAGTCCTCATGCACTAACAGTACTACCCACAGGTTTACAACCATGTTTGAAAGTGGAGTAGTAATAGAAGCAGGTCAGACAAGCTGAGATACATGATGTCAGCACTCGTGAAATCCCACAAAGCTCTAACTAGCATTTCCTATGCCCTGATAGAAATATTGAATATTCACAGACAAGGTGTGTGCAAGAAGAGTCTCCGTGGGCACTTTGCTAGATAAATAATCAACAATCAAACGAGGGGTGAAACTAAGCCTGGGCTGGTGTCTCAAGGCCATAACCTACCTTTACTTTGAAGATGCTGGTTTTCATCAATACACACCCCCCTAAGGAAGCGAATCTCTTGCACAGCTTGTAGCGGCAAGCCTTGCTTTCCCTCACTCAGATTAGTCTTCTTTCTTTGTCTCCCCTCTGATCCTCGTCTCTCCGCACCATTTCTCTATACAACTTTCCCAATTTCGAACTGCTCTCTCGCTCTGTAGCTCACCTCTCTTGAACTTTTATTCAAAAGATGGGCAGTAAATCCA